AACCCACCGAAACCTCGCTACAGTCACACTTGGAATGTGAAGACAGTCACAGACTACATACAGACCCTTAAGGATAACAACCAATTATCCCTTAAGGTTCTGTCTCAGAAGCTAGTTACTCTTTTGCTTCTTTCATCAGGCAGAAGGTCATGCGAGATAACTTCACTAGACCTTCAATTCATGATCAGGAAGCCTGAGGGCATAGTCTTTAGTATCCCTATCCTTACCAAAACTCAAAAAGGGAATTCACGCCCAAAAGAAATATTATTCCCTTGTTTTCCCCTTAACAAGGGTTTATGTGTGGTTTCTTGTATTACAGCCTATATAGAACGCACTTGTTCACTAAGGTCTGATCAGAGACTGCTAATTTCCTACCAGAAACCCCATAAACACATTTGTTCAACAACGCTTGCTAGATGGGCAAAATGCTTGCTATCTGACGCAGGGATAGACACCTCTGTTTTCAAGGCTCATTCAATAAGAGGTGCCTCAACCTCTGCAGCTAGAGAAGCTGGTGTCCCCTTAGACTTAATCCTAGAAACTGCAGATTGGTCTTCTGAGTCCACGTTTTCTAAGTTCTATTATAGACCATCCTCAATAGCCTTTGGGCGAGGTGCTCTCGGAATAAAAGGTATACTTTAAAGTCACCTTGTGATATCTAACTTGACTCCGAAGTATAATTAAGGTTTTCCTAGGACTCTTTAGAGTCTGAAGTAAAACCAAAGTTATACAAGGAGGCAAGTTAGATATCACAAGCCCTTCCCTCCCTTCCCATTTTATTCCTCGAATTAGCTAGGAGGCTTACAGGGCATTTCTCTAAGTCTGATTATCTTTATCTTAGATTCAAGCACAACTGGAAACAATCATAGTACTGATTGACCATTGTAAGCTGCACTTTCATGTTTAATTATGGCCTCTACAGAAGGACAGATTGTATTACTGTTTTATTTGTTTGAATATTCTTTCTCAGTCTTGGAGGACTTTCATATCTTTATTAGAGTAACAACAATTTGTAATAGCAACACTTGATGTGCAAATTATTCATTATCTCAGGGAAGGAATAGATGAAACGTTGTATTAGGAATTGTTTTGTGAATAAATATTCACTTTGCTGTTATGTTTTGCATTTATCCTGCTTTTCTATTAGTATTCAGTCCATATACATTTTTTGTGGGGATGCAAAATTTTCGATCTGATTATGTATTCCCTCGTGGCGAAGGTCAGGGTCTCATGCTGGTCAGTGATTGGCTGATCTAAGGGATCAAGCAATTGGTTGTTTTTTCGCGCCATTTGCGTTGCAATGGTTTCTCTTTAAAGTTTGCGATTCAGTCTCGTATTGAAGATCAACACCTTGTGATATCTAACTTGCCTCCTTGTATAACTTTGGTTTTACTTCAGACTCTAAAGAGTCCTAGGAAAACCTTAATTTTATTTAATAAACGATATTCTTCTTATAAGACAAAAAAACAACAACATGAAACATGTAAGCATTGAAATGTTTCGTTTATTAATTCCCATCTTTAGAACAATAGAAATGCATCACTTCTGATTTACGTATGAAATTCTAGCAAAACTTATCATAGACGTACATGGAGAATTACAAAAATTATACAACTCATTTCCTGCTCGGTCGACACCTTAAAGGCCAACATACACCCAATAACCTTTGAACGATTTTTTCACAAACGAAAATTTTTGATTTTGAGCCAGTCATGTTTGTAAAACTAAAGAAATGATTTCAAGGGTTATTGGATGGACTTGGGCCAATAATGTTGAACGGACTTATCGTATTAGGCGATTAGGGCACGTTCACCTTAAGGTTTGGAAACTAATGCCTCAAGATCCACTAACACTGTGTGGACAGAGAAGGTGAGGGGAGTTTTTTTTTGTCTCCTTCTCTGGTGACTCGTCTTTTGCAATACGTTTTTAGACTACTTTAAGACGACGATCGAGTCGAACGGTGCACAACACACAATGACTGTAAAGAATCGAAACGGTGCCGGCTGAGAAATATCCCAGAATATTTGGATCAGAGAAACTACATGGAAGACGCTCCTGACTCAGAACGAAATAATATTTTAAAATATTTAGAACTGCACATTTTTATTTCCGTTCAAGTCATTAGCGAGACAAAAGTTAGCTGTATAATCATCGTCAAATTCCAAGTATGTTTTTAAGTATCTTCTCAGTCAAGATGTACCCACGCCAGCTAGTTGTGCGTTGCGAGTAAACATCCAGTCAATTTAAAAAACAAACATACGAGCAAAATAAACTAGAAGACGATCAAAGACTAACAGGTAAAACACGTTTACAGAAAGAACTATTATACGTCCGTACGTGCAAAACTACGGCAAAATAGATAGCGTTTTGCATTGCATTGTGGTCTAGTTTCAGTACAAACATATTTTGTTCATGCTGTTCATGCTGCTAAATATTTTGTATTTCAGAAAAGGTCTATCCAATCGTGGATAGTGACCAAAAAGATACTTTGCGCAAGGCAACAATGCATTTGTAATAAGTTTTCATGCAAAGGTTTACGATAACAACGGTATCTACAAATTTCGCTCTTGATAACACTCCAGCCTCCTTCGTAAGCGAAAAACCGCGTTCTTTGCTTTAACCTTAATTTTCTGTGTTGCGACAAAAAAGCGAATAGTTTCCTGCGAAGGATGCTGATTACAATCTTCATAAAAGATTGCTGTAGACTTCTATACCTTAAAACAACCCCGCAAAGCATCAACTTGATCAAGGGCTTGTGAAGATAAATTGTGTTGACACTCGTTAAAATGATAAAGTAAAATGAAAGCCATTTTCAGTATCCTTAAAACAAAGCTCTATGATTGGCTAGAAACAATTATAAAAGCAGACCTGATCACGTGATCCTCATATTCCCCGTCAGTTGGCCTTGAAAAGTTTTCTTAATCATCTTAGATGGATTTTGATTGATCGACAATAAATACTAGATTATTTACATATGTATTTAAAGCAAATGCACGATTGTGATCGCTTTTAAGTGTAGACTTATAAGAAGGCCTCCAAAATACCGCACAAAAGACAAGGAAGAGTTCAAATATCGTGCATCAAGTACTGAAAATCTCATTATAATGCCACAAGTCGAAAGAATAGCAAGTTTTTATTCAAGACAAACTGTTATATAAATCAAACAATCCATACATGTCTGCTAGTTCAGATATAAAATTGAAGATTCAGTGATCAGGCATGCAAACTATTTGTAAATAAGTAATACCCTCTCTTGCAGACTTTGACGAAATGCAAGAGTGGTTTTCAGAACTTCGAGAAATCATTATCAAATTTACACAGTTATTACTACACAGTAGTGAGAGCTTATTTGATTCTTTTCCTTCTTAAATTATAAATCATTAAATAGCAAATTATTTGTTGTTTTTGAAAACCACTCAATTCCATTTATCATAGTTTGAAAAAGATTCAAGTAAATTAGCCCAAAAGAGATCCAACTTCAGAGGTTAAMATTTTGTAGCCAAGGAATTCTCAGCGAATGCGAAGGTTTTTTTAGCGAAACTACACAAATTAAATGTTTGTCATAAAAATATCCATAAAATAATTTTAGCTAAAAYTCGTGTGTATATCTGTATTATCTTATTGACATGGAAATTTGCAATTTATTTTACATTTGGCATAATATTCAGTCAGTATTTTACAATTTCTTAAAGGCCACCTGCCATGCATTGGGCTACCTGTGGCATCTTCCCTTATTATGACGTGTTACTTCCATATATGGATGTGCATATTCAGAAATACTCATGGAAAGAGACCTCGAAGCGAGGTCTCAGAGCCTGGTTGACTGGGCTGATTTCTTTTGTTTTGTGTCCCCAGGGAAACCAGCCCGTTGAGCTGGGTCAGCCCGCTTCATATAATCAGGCCCTCAGTCTAGATTTCGACTAGAATTTTTCTCTCCACATATTTTTTTMTACACGTACATCCATATTTGTCAGTTTTATGTCTTAATTTATTACCACAGGAAACTCTCCTGTAACAATGAATTGAATTGAGATACCTGTGGTAGGAAACTTTATAAGTGGGCTTCCTGTGGAATTATCATTGTTCGTAATTGGGATTCCTGTGGTTTTCACCAAAGTGCGCTCCATGCGTTATTGAATTGTACACATTCTTTTAACGTCATTTTCATATTCTTCATCGTCACTGTTCGTATCGGGCGTTTGGTCTTTGAATTTAGGAAGGAATTTCCYTGTCTGGAGGTTTTCTTGTTCGTAGAACAGCATATACGGCGAGTCTTTATGCATCTTGGATTCATCACATTCCTGGAAAATTATCACTAGATTAAAAACTAGAATTGACTAATGAATCAACCAGCGAACAAATGAATGAATAAATAAGACAGATGGATGAACGGATAGATCACAAATGTACAAATAAATGAATATGTGAGCTAATGGATAAAAATTCAAAATGGATGAAAGGGATGGACAAGTAAATGACTAGAAGGGATGGATGAATGAAGGGGATAAATGAATACATGAAGCAAGTATCTCACACAATGAACGGACCTAATGACAGCCTTGCTTATTGAGAAGTTCGACAGAAATCAATAACATCCCTGAACAGCCTGAAATCCTCGTATGATAAGTCTAACAATAACCTACCTTACAACTACTGTCGTTATAGCAATACCAACGTCCATTGGGGTTATGAGAATAAGAAATATAATGACCACCCCCTAAGACACCTGAATGACACTGTGGAATAAAGAAGTGTGGTTAATTTGTTGGTATAATAATTAAATAGAGCAACAACTGCGTCGAACTGAACGGGGCAAGTGATGAAAAAAAATCACTTTGCAAGTSTTTGTGATTCAAATAAAGCAACTTGCAAAAAGCTATTATGATTCTGAATGGTATTTAAGCGTAAGATATAGTTTGCTAGTGATTTACTAAAGGTATCGATATTTAACGTTTTCTTACAAACATGAACAAGCTTCTGACTGCGAATATGATTGCATAATGAGTACCAACATAACAATTCATTTGTCTTTACGTACCGACATCGCATAAAGTTTATAAGTTGGTGTGTTAAACGCCATTGACGATGCTCTATTACGAATTTCATCCACTTCTTTGCATCCATGTGATTGTTCGTGAAGAGGTCTTRGACTACCAACTGGTTGATCAACACAGCAATCACCACTAGTAGCTACAGGACTTCTTTGTTCGTGTGTTTCAACGTCTGTCAGTGCTTTAGCGGAGTTAATACTAGAGGTTGATGAGTGCCGTGAACGATTAGCGACGTCAACTTGACTTGAGCTTCGAATACTAGGCGTTCGTGTGATACTTTCAATGTCAGACGAATCATGCTGAAATAAACAAACATATATGGTCAAAAGGTTATCTTGATGTCATTTTCTTAAATGACAAAGCATGAAGGGAACCCCAAAGCATGATGGGAACTCCAGAGGATGCTGGGAACTCCAAAGGATGATGGAAACTGAGTCCTTGAAGACCATATTTAGAGCAAAGCAAAAGCAACGCATACAAATAGTAAGGTATAATATAAGTTTCCAAGATGCTAGTTTTAACACAAGTTTTCTCTGTTTAGTAAATTAAGTGGTTTACAACAAAAAAAGTTGCAAAAATACATAACGAACAGACGGACAGACAGACAGAAGCAGACTATTAGTGAGATACCTGTGATTGYTCCTTGACGTCGCTGCCTGCAGCTGCTTCACTTTTATCACGTTCATCTGATTCATTACTTTTAACATTTACTGTAGTCACTGAATTGTGAGGACTTGTTGCTGATCGTTTTACTAAGAAAGCCGATGGATCAAATCCTGCCATAGGATAGTTAACTATCTTGTTGGACTTGACCCAGTGACCATTAACGTACTGGAAACGTTTGAGATGTATAACCTGTAATCACAATACACAAACATAGGTATAAAAGATTTCAAATGTTCAATGGCTGAACTCCTTTTTCCTTTTCCCATGGAGAGTACATGATTCAATTAAACTAACCAGTATCGGCGGTAAACTCCAGATTTCTAGTTTCTTGACCGCTAGCCGTTGTTTTTTACACTTGTTGCAGTACCTATGAAAATAGCAGTGACTTAATTAGTCATTGCATCACTTCCATGCAGGACAAATTTTTGTRCGTACCAAAGCTCATCTTCCCCTAATTCTTCTTCTTTAGTAAAAGCCGTTAAGCATTCATGCAAGTCAATAGGTTCTGTCTGAAGCTTTCGACTTTTCTCAACACTATCGTGCTCRGTAAAAGTCTTTTCTAATGACGACTGGTAGCGAAGGTGAAGGGTTGTAGGGTCCCATTCGATTGCCAGGAAGGACGATCTGTTACCATATTCCTGGTCACTACATTGTATAGGACAACCACGGCAGAATCGATACCAGGGACACCATGAGCACGTTAAACCATCTTTTTGGACAGCACGTAATTCAAATGGATATTCTCCTGTTTCACTGTGTAGTATATAAAAACATTAAGGGGGTATAGTGGTACATATAGGAGGAGGGCAAGTTATAGAGAATACAGAGAAGGGGGAGACGTTTCATGGCGAAAACGTTCTCTACACAGGGTACCAATAGACTTCTGAAACTTTTACGTGACCTCCTTGATTTGTAATGTATTGTGGGATCGGTTTCTGGATAAAACAAAACAAATCTGTCATGTTTTGTCTCATACATATCCAACAATCCATTGCGTATACGGTATTTTACTTAAAAGCTTCAAATGTCTATACTGCTCGGAAAACCTATGATGGACTTTGAGTAATAGCTTTATTATATACAGCTGTTTCAAAAAACATTGAATACTGAAGATAAAGTATTCCAAGAATGAAATGCATTGTTGGTCATTCTATCGCCGTTCAAAAGAAGGTTTCCAGGTTTCTGAGTCACTGTACCAGCTCCGTACAGTCAAGAACTTCGCTAGGAAGTTAGACAATTAGAATTGTCATAGGGCCGCTAACGTGGAGTTTAAAGTCAACAATGCATTACGGCCTTAGAATGCACTATGCTGTATTCAACACTTTTTGAAATAGCTGTTTACCTTTGAGTTACTGTAGACTTAATGCAATATTATCAATACTAATTCATAACTGATCATTCTTTACCCATTTTTAGCGTTTTTGTCTCCAGGAGGTGGTGCACTGAGCAGTCTCGATACTTGAGTCCATACTGCTTGGTACAAATCACTCTGTTTTGTTTGTGTTGTACATGGAACAATCACAGGGATCCCAAACAGACTTGGCGAGTTCTTCTGATGTGACATAAAGTATGCATCTTGCCGCATCTGAAAAATTCGCAAACAGAAACTGCATAAATCACAAGATAATTTTATAGTAAAAAGCCTCGCGATTGCCGACTCTAGAGACTTTTGGGTTTTTCTGCGTGGTCAAACTTCCKAGTGCTAGCAGAAGAACTTACAAGCCTCTAGAAAAGAGAAAAAATATATTTTTCCTTCAAGCGCTTTCTTTTCTTCCATAGTACTGTATTACTTGGGTTTTCCGTTCGTTGTTGATTTTATGACTTCTTTTTTTTCAAACTAATTGAYAGTATTCGTCAGTCTCATCGCTGCCGTTATGAGGCTCGTTACCAGGTCTCTCGGCTGCGAGAGGAGACTATATTCGACACCACCATTAAAGAAAGGCAAGTGACAAAATCTTTCGAGGACCTTTCGAATCTGGTAGAGTGATTACACTTACACCGTGCAACTGTAAAATATAATTAGAAAATCGTGCATGCGGTACGCAAATTAAATTGAAACAAATGAAGCATTCAATACCGTCTTGCTTCAAGTCCACTTTTAGTACAAATTAATACTACTAAGATTTTGTACAGTTGTACGGTTTAAGTGCAATTACCCTAGTAATAAGATACAATTATAGACTCCAATACCATTTTCCGGTGAATTGCCACAGCAAAACCATTAAATGTAAAACCACACGGAGCTGAACTATTAGTAGGCGTCAGTGAACCACTCATATTGCTCGGTAACCCTGAGTTTGTCACGCTATTCTGTCTGTTCGTAGAAAACGAAGTGTTTGTCACGCAATTTTGTGCGTTACTTCCGCCAGTGTTTAAATTACAGTCTTGTGTATTGCTAGGCAATACTGGGTTTGTTTCCGTGACAGAWACACTAGGAACAGTATTAGTAGGTTGTCCATTCATGAGTGCAATTCCTGAATCGGCATTTGATACTGAGCTCTGGGACGACTCCGAAGACTCCGAAGACTTTCGCCCTGGACTGTACGAACCGTTCAATTTAGGGCTAATCTTTTTACGTATTTTAGGGCTGAACTTCTTCAATAAACCTGAATTCTTTTTCCTTTTGTTGTCATCGTTAAACCAATTTTCGTCCACTTTGAGTGAGTTATTTGAAGAGTTTTGACTGCAGTTCTTATTTTCCAGCTCATTACATTCATTCATTGGGCAGATATAAGGAGAGCTTTGCTGTACCACAGTAGGTTCGACATCTTGAGTTCTTTCTTTGGATGTAGTTTGTGATTCTGTTTTATGTACAGTTGGAGGTTGYTCTGGTGGGATTTCATATGCGTAGAGAAAACCAGCTATAGTTGAGCGAATCTTGATGGTGTCRGATGGGATATTCTAGGAAATAGAAAGGTTTAGTAACATAGCAAACGTAACGCAATCCTTTGTCATGTTCAATGTCACGTTATAGAACACTTCGACGATATGACCGCCATTTTGTCACGATATCAAGAAAAACTATCATTCATTTTGGTCTCACCCTGGATACCCCTAATGTCATGCAATCCTATCAAGATCCTATCACAAAATGTTCAGGTTCTAGGTACAGTTTTCGTATTTCTTTCACTTATACATCTTTTCAATACTCATCACTTAAGAAAGTTTCTTGTCGAAAAGAACAAAATGGCCGCCGTTTTGTCAAAGTAGTTCATCAACTATTCATGTTACACACTCTCTCATTGGAAATCAATTTCGAGATTAAGCTTTTATTGTATTTCATTGTTTAGTAGTATTACCTTGACAGTCGCTCCATATACTTCAACAAGAAGAAGATTTTCTGCTTTAATGTCACACAGTTTTGACAGACCTTTTTTGATTGCTTTGTATTTATCGTCGTTATCAAGTAATAAAGCATACTTTGTTGGTACAGCACCACTTAAAGGTACAACTATAAACAACAAGTCTTGGTTAGAAACAACGATGACAGTATCGACCTGTATGTTCTTGCTTAAAAAATAAATTTGTTGAAAAAAACAATTTTTTCTTCTCGTCGCTTCGCCATATTACAAGACGACCAAATATTAGTAGATGCAGTGATAGTAGTTGCAGTTGCAACCAACTTCAGTGAAAACGGTAGAAAGAGAAATAGGTGAAGCACTATTTACAAAAGAATACAGGCCAAGCAGTAGAAGAAGGGACATTCAATCATTGCCCYTTGAGCCTTTTGAATTAATTGTTAAACGAGATTGCAGTGATTTAATACATCGATGTCATTTTCCTTTGATGGCTTTTGGAGAAAGGCTTTCACGTACTCTGAGCCTGTAGTGTTTCTTGTCAGTGACTGAMCGTCAAACAGTAAAGCAGAAAAGGATTTTCKTGTCATGGAATKACTTACCAACAATCTCGACATATATAGAGTTATCCATCGGAAGAGGAAGCGAAAGAAAAGTAAAAGGATCAAATCTTGCGCTGACATATCCACATTGTAGACATCGCACTTGAGATTTGAGCTGTGTAAGATRATAGCAAATAGTCAGTACTTTCTCTATTCGGTGGGAACTAGCGGTAAACTAATGTGAGCAGCGTCGATGTTTCTAAACAAACAGTTTTGTAAAAAGATAAATTTAATACCTACTTTTTTACGGTGTAATTTATCTTTCTACAAAACAATTTCTCTATTTGTTTGTTTTTTATCTGTTTGGTTGTTTGGTTATTGTTTGGTTATAATTTTACACATACCTGGCCTTGGAATAGGTCTACTACAACTGACTGGTTACGCTTGAAATGGTTATCCCATGCCTGCCAAAAAAGAGAAATATTTCAACTAACTTCAGGTACAGAAGGGGTTTGTGAAACGAGAATAAATAAGTGTTAATTTGTGAAGCGAATACAAACCTCTTGTGAGACAATCTCATCAGGTCTTCCATCACTGTCYTTCAGCTCGACATAAGGCTTGTTATGAACTCTGATGATCACATAAAATTTATCATGTTGGCTAAATGTAAGTTAGGCATAGCTAGAGTTTGCTTCTGGATACACAGATGAGTCTGCCCAACTATTATGATATGAATATGAAGACCGCATGGCACTATGATAAACACGATATAGAAATGAAAGAAAGTTATAGTGCTTAAGCACTATAACTTTCTTTCATTTCTATATCGCAACTATTATGATGCTGGTCAGCAGTCATTTAGTGTGCACATGCGACTGGACATGTGTGGTTATGTGCGGAATCCACCCCAGTAAGATATCTAAATCTGGGCATTAACCATGGATAATGGTCGTCATGATTCCTTCATATGCATCACTGTGATGTGCATCATTGTGGGAAATAATTATTTATACCACACTACATGTACTTGTACAGCTCGTTATAAAACAGTTACCTGTTAAGATCCTCATGTAAGCCATCCAATAAGAATGACAGAAACTCCTGAAACAAAATTTTTCTTGGTTAAAAGTGAAAAGGAAATTGCAGYATATAATATCTAAGGTAGAGTTTCCAAAGTGCCATACCGTTGCTAGTATCAGTCATGTAGTAATACAATTATTACCTGTGAATCATGCTGCTGAAAGCCATTAAATCTTGGAGCATACCGACCAATTGTCCACTATTATTGAAACAAAATGCACAGAATTATCAACGTTTTGTAGGTAAGAGATTCAGCTTGYAACTGGGCACTTACACGAAGCTTGAGTGGTGCAAGACTTCTTGAACTCCCACTCCACAAGTCTTCTACAAGGTCTCCATATCGTCGAGCTATATGRCCCTTCATACCAAGTGGATTGGTCCTGATAAGGTTTATAATAAGACAGTGTTACTAGAGTGGTAAAGTTATCTTATTTTTGTGTACCATGTGATTTTTTGAAGCCAATTGTTTCTCTCAAAAACAAGTCACGTGTCACAACAAGGCAAGGAAAGATTTGTGCAGATGCTTTACCGCTTTAATAAACAGTTTCATTAGCGATTGATAAGGTTTGTGAATAAACGAAAGTTGTGTGGTGCTAAAAAGATACGTTGAAGTCAACGATAAAGAAAAATATGAAGTATTTAACAAAGTCTTGTATATCCTTGATAAGAAAAATTACAAAATAAATTATATAAAAAATTACAATTAAGTCTACAAAGGCAAAGTTATTGTACCTGTTTAGTTCGTAGTAATGACAACGATTGGTAAAGTACTGTGTAAGAGGTTGTGTATTGCTTAGACACTGTAAAGCTGAGTTCATAAAACATGTGTTGCCAAGGTTACTCAATCCAGTGGCTCCTTTCTCTGTGGGCTCTATAATTAAAATAAGTATTAAAACATTCTCTGTGGGCTCTATAATTAAAATAAGTATTAAAACATTCTCTGTGGGCTCTATAATTAAAATAAGTATTAAAAAACAGTGTTTGTGTAGAATTTCTTGTAATGTCCCTACAGTAGGAAAAACTAATAACTTAACTCACTGAACAGCAGAATTGGACAGTACCTGGTGTTTACTAAATATTTGGTAAATGTAGCAATACTTGCTCTGAAACTTACCATTGTTTAATTTTTCTTTCAAACTCTTATTTGAAGCTAAAGAGGACATCTCTTCAGGCCAGCTCATGTCCCTGTTACGCACTGGAAAAAAAGTGTACATTTATGAAGACTCAAGCATACATGTACAAATATAATAATGCAATAATAGATGAATGTTGTACCAAAATAAGAACTTAAAGACAGCCACTATGCATATAAAGAACATTAATTCAACAACTGTCTGTTTTTCTGTTTATCATTGGACGTTTGAGTAAAACTTAAAATTCAGCATYAAATGCTACAAGAGTATGCACTCTCCCGATGCATTTAAACAATAAAACTGATAAGCTATACAAAAGAACATCCTCTAACCTTCTAGTAATAGAGTCATGTTATCATTGATGTTAAGGTCCTCCAGTGACTTGGCATCCTCTTCCAATAATGTTAAAGTATTCTAAAACAAATCATAGATTTACTAAAAAGTAGTTCACAATACAATATAAATTGTGTCCTTTCTTACATCATCTTCCATAATCCATAGCCTAAGGTCTTCCACRCGTATCCGTAATCGRCCGCTGGTGTACTCCAGTACCTAAAACAACATAAAAACAGTGTCAAATTAACACTGATGTTCAAATGTTTAGAATTTCTTGATGACTTTGTCTTAGTACACTGGTCTCCACTGACCTGCTGTAAAGTGTTGATACGACTGAATGCAGCTAAGAAGGCTAAATACTTCTTTGGAGGTGCATGAGTAGCTGTCATGGAGTTGTTACCAAASCCAAATGAGCTTAAYCCAAARCCTACACCAGTCCAWGTCGTGATGCCACCTCTGGTTGGAGGTGGTGCATGTCGGAATATTTTGAGGTTKATRGGAAACAGCTCCAGTTCAGGTGTTGARTCGCCATGTTTTGGGACAATAACCTAGAACATTGAAATAATTTCAATTGAAGAACACTATTCTGYTGTTTATATGCGACKATTCAAAACTTTTYGAAACTGAAGTCATGATCTCATATATAAATCACAAGCATTGTTAGTAAGACCAATGGAAGTTTAATTGCATGTTTAAAGCTTTTATATGGATCATTTAAGAAAAAAACTGATGCAAATGATTGTAAACAACAGGAAGGGAAACTTGACCACTGACGCTGTCCATTTCTCTATACAGTAAATTATATAGTACAGTATACGGCTTTTAGTACATTATACTACTGTATGTATCCCAAGTATTGTACAGTGCTACTCACAGTTCTTGGTAAAGCTGGTCCACCACCATACCACAGCAGCAAGGCCTTCCAGACAGGATCTGGTATAATTTCAAAATCTCTGCCTCTACTTAGAGGTACAGTACGTTTAAGCTTGCCTCCCTCTCCTGTTAATATAGGTATCTGAAAATACAGTAGAAGTATTTTCATCAGTACAGAACTACATGTATTGTTATTGACACAAAATTAATTCTCAAGAATGACAAAAATGTTTGGCATCTTACTGATGCATTTATTATTTAGATAACATTAAAATAGTAATAATATTATTAAGCTTTTTAAAGTCAATCTTTTGCAATTAACTTAATATTACTTGCAGCTGTAAAAAAAGATAATGCAGACATCAGCTTATTGGCATATAAGTTGTGTATTAAAAGTAATCATCTTTATCATGGTTTTTTTTAATAACTGACTAAGCCGATTTTTGGTGTATGCTACATGTAGTTTTCTCTCATTTTGCTTTGTTCSTTATAAAAAAGGTACTACAGTAATTAAAAGAGAATTACCTTTCTGTTTTCCGTCTCAATCAGCGATGTATTATCAATCTGCCCAGGTCCAACCATTACTGCATCATTACCAGGAATACAATGCCCGTTAATGGAACCATTAGCAGGAGACAYGCCCTTATTACTAAACACAGGGTGTGACTCACGTCGACCTATTGTCTTAGCCTTCAGTGAATCATAACTCCATGTAGAGTTAACACTTGTCTTGGGGGTAGGAGGGACTTGAGTGGTTTTGGTAGGTGGAGCACCATTTCGTTTCATGGACCCTGTTGAGGACCTCCTCATTGTCTGGAAGTAGGTAATTAAATAAATYATAAAGAGAAGTAGCTTCTTTTAATTGTTATTTATTTTGCATTCCTTCTCAACCAATCCAGACAAAAGCCATGACGTACAATAAACAATAGGCATCTGTAAATCAAGCAACTTACATATGCACCACCCATGGACAAGTTTAAAAATTGAATGCAAACATTTTAATGTTAAAACTGATGAATTATTTCCATGTACAGTGTACCTGGTAGTTGACATGCTCTTTCCATGTACGCCACCAMGACATTGACACAAGGTACCAAACAGATCCAGGTTTTAAGCCTTGTTGGTTCTCTCTTTCAATCCATCCTCTACAAAAACAAATAAAATCATAACCAATATACTTTATTTTGATTAACCTTTTAACTAAACTATTTCTGCCATATAACTTTAATGTATTCTTACTTTGCAACTTGCAGCTCTATTTCTCTTGAAGCTGGTTTAAGACCAAGTACAATATGGCATACCTAATACAATGATTTAGAAGTTGATTTTGTTAATGATTATTGTCAAAATAAATAAATAAAYATCAATGAAGAAAGCTGTAATTATATGTGTAAAAGCAACACCAAAGCAACTTTTTGGCCTTAATTTTGCAGAAAATCTTTTAAGTAAAACCATCATGTATTATAATTTTAACAAAGATGTAGTTTCATACCTGAACTAACAGTTTGGGGAAGAACAATGAGAAACGATGATCATCGGCCCACTGCTGATATTCATTTAAGCTGATTTTTCCATCCTTTAAAAGTAAAAATGATGTCATAATCATGTCCTGTTAACCATTAACCATTTATTTATCGAAATAAGTTATCAGAAGCCACTTACTTTTTCTTTTCCACAGTTTGCTAGAATCTCTTCAGTCATTAAAAAYGCATCAGATTCAGAAAACTGGTTATTTGTATCCTAAAAAAAGACATACAAATCTATATGTGACAACCTTTTTTTTAAATTGTGTACATATTTTTGTTGAAATGCAATACCTTTTCAGGGTTATTATCTCTCCTTATTTCCAACAGAGTTTGACACATGACAGTGATTTCATCCTTTGACAAGAGGCCATCTCCATCAGTATCAAATACTTTGAAACAAACTAATAAAAAAGACAAATAAGAAGGTAAAATACAGAACATATGGACAACATATAAACTACAAATCAACTAAAAAATAAATAAAGCTCTTTAGTTAGTGGTGTGCAAGAGTWAGTTYGGAAGTAGGTGGCTSTTCTGAAAAAGTAGMKCTGCACCTGAATCGTGAGGTKTCACAGGCCTTGCAACTRTAATATGGCCAAAGAAGCTGGYCAAATGTCAATTAATTAATAAACACTGRATTTTGCWAGTTGTCTTCTAATGAAATTCCTGTGTGTRCTTACATTGATGCCTTTCTAAACTTGTTCCTCTGCAACARGCTGARATCCCACATGCCATTTCTCGGAAGTCAATATGGTTGTCACAGTTTTCATCAAATGCTTTAAATAAACCTGTACCAAAAAATAATAATAAATCCTAATAAATTACTGAAAATATTCAGCACTGATTTTGTACGATTGTTTGCACTGATATGTRACTAGCCCAGACATAACTGCAATTAGCTCTAGATTCTTGTCAATCAAAATTTTCAAACAAGAATTTTGGTTGGCAATTTGATTGCAGCTGTGAAGTTTTGTGTGGACTAATAGTCTTCTTCAAGGTTCCCTGCACCATCTTGAAAGGCAGCCGTGCCTCTGCATTGAAGCGAGATAACTGTTAGAGCATGCAATGATAGAAACCTTCCAAACCTACAGACAATTATTCACAGGTATCTATTATTGCACGCTCAATGGTTGTCTCGCTTTGATGTAAAGGCATGTTTACCTTTCAAGATGGCGTAGGGAACCGTGAAGGAGACTATTGCGTAGCAGTGGTAACAGTAACTAGACATTCACATATTCTAAAAATATTATCAATTTTATTCCTGGCCAATGATGCAATCAATTCACTTGAATTGCAGACCATAATACTAACCTGGACAGATAATACTTGGTATTGGCGGTGATACAAGTCTTGTGAATGCCTCTAAATCAAATTTGCCAGTCTTTGATGTTGACTTGAGATACCAATATTTCTTTTCAAGCTCAATGATGTCAGCTTCATGCACTACCATCACAAAGACAGAAATAATATATCTGTGGTTGTATGAATTTTGACCAATACATTTCACATTGTAAAACCCATATATTACAATAGACATGCTGCTCACCAGATGGGTAGTGTGAGTAAGAATTTGTGCTATGACCCCTAAAATAAATAACCCCTAATCCAATTTYTTTTTTTCGATTTCTGGWCAATTCTTTTTCACCCATTGAGTTGAGCCTAATCAAAGTTTATTCTTAAAATTGRGACATATTTTTAAGCTGTGGACTTAGTTTTGTAATGTCACAGCTGATTTTGATCAAAATGGAGATGCTTTGAAGATGCTGACTTTCTGTACAAACCATTTACTGTCCAATGCTTTTGAATATTGCTTATTTTACAATGGCATAAATATTTATTAGTAAATCATTAATTATGTTGTTTTGTCTATTCTACACTAAACCTTTAAACACTGCAAGGTACATGGGCATAAATGAGCTGAATGCAATGCTAGTCGTTCTTTTATTTCCCATCTGTTCAAAATAATTCTAAAACACAAATCAATTAACTCACGATGTGTAACGGTAGCCAGAGTTTGATAAAAGGTTGGAGTTTCACTACTGTCTGTTAATTGCACGCTGCAGCCATTACCAATGATTAAGAGCCATCTTGACAGTGATGTCACATCTGGATTTCTTGACAGCCATTTGGCAAACTCATCAAAGGATAATTTGTCGATCTGCAAATTATAAAAAGACTGCTTAATAGAGAATGCCTTGGGAAGACTGATTGCGCATAAGAATTGGTGGATCAATTAACTGTCCGTAAAACAATGTTACTTAACAGTTCTTCATTTTCACCTTTTATTTATTATTCATTTTTTTCATGTACACAGCTATTCCTTTGCCTGTTTAATCATTTCTGAATCCTTGACATGTAGACTTTATTTCCATCCATTTTATAATCAGTCCGATTTTTAACTTAAGTGCTGTAGAAGCATAATCTACCCCCAAAGGATTCTTTCTTTCTTTTTTTTCCTTTTACTTAAAATAACAGCTGCCCCAATTAAATCATCCATCACTTAGTACTTAAATCACATATTATTCTTCACTTAAAAATGGATTACTTTTCATGCCAAGAATTTATATTGACATATTGTTATTACAAAATTACTGTGTAATTAAAATCTTTAAAACACTTTTCATCAAACAAGACAACATCAACCTCAATATTGACATTCACTGGAAAGCAAATTGATCAACGAACATACTGCTCTCTCATGAACATTATATTGCACTGCACTCTGTGCCTAAAAACATCCCGCTAAAATGTATGATGATTAATAAATTCATGTTCAGACTGTACATCAATATAAGTTACACACTTATATCATACAATTAAAGTTCATTGGTTTTTCTGAGTTTTAAATACTACATAAAAAAAAATTAAAATACAGATAGACCTCTACATAACAAATTCAACTGAAGAAAGATTTTCAATTTCTTKTTTTGTTTTGACTATTATTGTATACATGTATTCATATGTAATTATTTCTACTAAATTATTCATGATAATATTCTTAGGACATTATTGCCATTTGTAGCTTCATTTAAAAAAACATTAAAATAGATGTAAGTTCAGAAGTAGCTCCAATAAAAACTAAATAACCTGCACTGCAAAGGTACTACACAATACTTAGCAATAGACAGGTGTTCAAACATCAGATAACTATGAATCAAGATGTAATGCTTTGTTTTCTCTGAGTTTAAACTACATTAATGCAGCATCAATGATCTATGATCTTTAGGTAATACGACTAGAATGTCAATCGCAAAAACTTTCAATACATTTACAATATTTTTATGCGAAAGAGCTGCATGGACCTTGCAAGATAATTGTKCTTTTACTAGTTCTAATATAATATCATATAACAAAAAAACAAAATTTATATTGATGTGGTCTGATGTATGTTAACAGCAAATAATCCAAAAAAAGTGCACAAAGAGTTTAATAACAGTTTTACTTTTTGGTAATTATTTTACAAAAAATAACAGCAAATTCGAAAGCATGTGTCCCATATAACCCTTATGATCACTGAGAATTCCAGGTAATAATCTTTTTTCCAATCTCCAGGGTCTTTAGTATGTTTCCATATGATTGCCATGGTCACTAAGATCAATCAGAGATCTCAATATAGCATTCCTATTTGGAAACCRGCCTTATTTCTAAGAAAAATGCAGGACCCTCACTGGGGAAACAACGACCATCGAAGTGTTATTTTTCTTGCTTGATCAACATGGCTAACTGGTCACTTTTTCTTCTACGTAGTTTTAACAGGAAGAAATTTTRCAAACTAAAACATAGTTTAACAATACCACAAAATATTGAGTGTTGAAATATGACAGCTACAAAATTTACATATTTCCAGTAAATCTGCGTTGTAGAAATTCTATTGACCAATGAACAAACAAATAGAATAAAAAACAGCTGTCAAAAATAAAAATTATTCAAAAAGTGCAGTGTTAAAACAAGTAAATACAGAGTTTTCGTTTTGGATTTTTTTGAGTAAAAAAGCAACTGAATCTAGGATTGATTCTTTTGTTTAGAAACTTTTGACTGCACAAATATAAGCAAAAGATTACATTATATTGTTATTTATATAATTTACATTTGTTCAATTAGAAAACAAGCCATTCTTTTCACGACAACAAAATATAAATGGCATAATTTTCTGAATTTTGAATAAAAAAAATATCAATTACATTAATTGGGAAACCAAATATTTAGATGTCGGAGTTAATATTTTACTAACGGACGAAAAACTCTCTGCAAGACACTTGGACAGAATGATCAACGAACCAGAAAAAAAGGAAAATAAGTGCGTTTATGTATGTACAATATAATTTCGAAATCGTTTTGAGTATTTGTTCRACGATAAATAAATAAATACATAAATTGGAAAATTCGTCRTTCGGGATTCTTACCACAGAAAAACATTCGTTAACTTGGGCACTAACAATTCCTCCATCGCTTGCAATAATGGCATTTTCTAGACTTTCTTTCGTCACATGAACACCATCACTTGTATACACATTAAATAAAACTGCAAAAGAACAAATGTATGGGATATTGTTAAGATGAACGTTTTAGAGTGTTATTGTATCGGATCATAGGTTCATGATCATCACACAGCACTCACATTTTATCTTTTCYTCGCGAGTCCCTCTTGTCAACAACACAAGTCCGCACAGTAAATTCCCAAAGTTTATTCCTTTAGTTGTTCCTCCGAAGGCAGTGTAAATTTGCTGAAAAACAGAATAAATGTCACTAGTAACGACAAGCTCAACTTTTCAAGAGAACGTGTTTTGAAATCGATGTAGTGATCACCTCAGCAACTCGAACTGGTACACAATCACCAAGAACTTCACGAGCGAATAACGTCTCGACCATAAGTCCACTGACTCCAGAAGCTCGCTTAAAAGCAAGCCGTAACCTTTGCATCTCTTCATCGGTTACTGTAAGAGGATTCAAGAACAAAACACATATAAATGAACTGTTTTTCGCAACGAAACCCAGGTGAAGGCTACTTTGCTAACCTCGTTTGACCGCTTCCTCGTAAGGAAGGAAGCAAAGTTTGGATTCTCTCAGCCCCATAGCTTTGTGGGCGTGATAGTCCTACATTTCCAGGTTTGTTTCAAGCCTCATCAAAGGCAGACAATTTAAGTTTTCAGGTACTAACTACATTTGTCGTCTTTCTCTGCCACCTTGCACACCGCTTCCTCCTTCAAGCGAGCGCGTGACGTTTACAGCCTCAATTTCATATTGACCGATGTGACTTTGGAGGACTGGTACCTGTAAATTCTGTCAAGACAAGCTCGTGGGAGGTAGGGAAGGAGAGTAAGCTGGCAAGTAATAAAAAATAGTCTAATATGTAAATAAGTAGAAAACAACTTAAAAATATTCATCAGTTTCTTATTCAGTTCGCGCTATATTTTTTTAAATCACGCTTCCTAACTTTTGGGATCCCTGTGTACATGACGTAAGAGTCAATACACTTGCAGACAAAAGTTGTCAGCTCTTCAATCCATTATTGGAGAGCGTTTAGAGCATTCGTTCGCCATATTGCCGGTGCTTCGTTATCCATAATTGCTTTCTGTCTAAGTTAGATCCAAGAATTAGCATTACTGGAGATCCTGCACGCATTGGATTTTCGCAAGGGAGAAACTTGAAAACGCGCGAAATCGGTGGAATATCGATTACTTTAGAATACCAAGCGACGAAGACAGTACAAGGTTAGTGCAGCACCGGCATGCAATCAAAACTCTTTCACAAATTCAGAAAAACAGTTTGATCGTACGTATTCAAATGTAGCCATCTATTGCTTTCTAAAATATTTTCAAATCCGTTTGCAATCAAAGTTTTGTGATTTGTTGCCAAGAATATTTTAGTACATTAATAGCTGATGTCAAAACACTTCATCGTACCTCGCTTGCACAAACACAGACAAATAACAATTTACAACCTGTTGTGATTTGAATACGATTGATGTCGTTGATATTCTATTGAGCTTGGTATTTTTCGTAGATAGCGAATTTTGCAGAAGTTTGTACAATTTAACCATAAATAACCAAATGACGTAACATTAASTTACTATTTGAAGACCCATGACTCAGCAATAGTAATTTACAAGCGGGAGCCAGGGAGCCATGTTTTAAAAGTAACGTATTAACATGTTACCACTTAAACATGATTTGTCAGTTTTACATCAATKAAAAGATAAAATTCAAGCTTTTCGCTTTTAAAACTGTCCAGAAAGAAATCATTGAATTTGTCACCGCGGTTGTCGCATCATGTAATAAGCTTATAACTTCACTCGGCTAGATTTTTTAACGATTAGCACGCGATCAATAAACATACTTGAGTTTTTATAAAAAAGGGAAAAAGAAATACTGTAGTGAGCTACTCTATACAAACTCGATCTGTGGAACGACAATACTGATTGAAATCAGATAATATATATAAATAGTTGCAACTTGAAAGAGAGTACTGTACCGTCTATTAATCGGTTATATCAAAATGTCAAAAATTATTATTGTTAAATACAAAAATGAATCTCATTATTCTTTTGAAAAAATTATAATTATGTTTGTGCAAAAAGTTTTCAATTCTACTGTCTTTAAAATTATCGTTGTACAATGAATTTTGTATTCTTTACAGGTCTTTAAAATGGATGGACATGTCAATAAAGGAGAAGAAGCTTCAGGAGAAGAAGATGAGAAGCAGAAGTTCACAAGATTTTATCGTCTACCCAGACTGCGTTTCACTAACTTCATGCAGTTTATGCTTGTTGCTGACCTATGCTCATCAATGGTTCTCTGGCTTGTGGGAGGAGACACAAAATATTTTGAGAACCACATAACACGCTTCACTGTGCGAGACAGTGTCATAGACTTGGCCGTGTTGTCCTTTGTGAGATGTAGTATTTCATTTTTTGTTTATGGTTGGCTAGAAGATGTGACGCTCATACAAATTGACCACCCTTATGAGCCTTCMATATCAAAGAAAAAATGTCTGTATCATGTTGTTGTTCTTTTCTGGAGTGTTGGATCCTTGGCATACAGCATTACTAAAGGTATATGCAATTAGATCAATATGACATTTTCATAATTTGAAATCATGTGGTAGGCTGATTTTCTTGTGGGTSTGGATCAATCTCAGTCCCTGAAATCAGTAAATTAACACCTATCAAAGAGTTTCTGGTTGATTTTACACTCGTTTTAGTTTGAATTCATATGGYKATGTCCCCTGCACATTGGKAAAAWATTAAATAGCATACAGTTTTTGTCCTTTCAAATGAATTTTGGAAGGTYATCTTGTCCTGCATATGTCCAGCTGTTCTTCRAGCCCTGAATATTGATCTAATAAAGTTCCTATTTTTTTCAGGTGTTCTCATCTATAATGTCTTATCAGACAGTTCACATAAACTACATGTCACATATTATGCTYTAATAATAAGCTCTATAAGCTTCTGTTTCCTGGAAGCTATTGGTGGTCTTTTATCTTTCCCAATGATGAAGAAGCTTAAGGTTCAACGTATACTTATAACTCCAAATGATGAATCCAAAGAAAAACCTAAAAAGAAGGTCAACGTAAGGAGACTTGCAAGTCTTGCAAAACCTGTAAGTAATTGCATTGATATTGTTTGGAATGTGAGAAAAGGGTTCTAAGGCCCTGTTTACATGGAGATAGAGTCACACTACTAGTAGGATCACCTTATCAGAAAGGCCAAATCATAGCCCTCCCTTACACGAAAACTTGACAAGCGAATTATATCCAGGGTAGGGCTATCTTCATTGCTCAGCCGCTAAGCTTCATAAACAACAAAATGACGGGTAGACTTTTGATATGCATGGGATGCCTATACCTATTAAATAGGGTGACCAGTTCAACATGTAAACAAAACCCATGAAATCAATAGAGTGGGGTCACCCTACGGGTAAGGTGGACCTCCTATTATGGTGACCCTATCTGCATGTAAACAAGGCCTTATAAATTCTTTAATAAGTGTAATTGAATATGCTTTAATTATTCATCTATCGTTGCTCCTTTTCTTCAGGAAGCAGGCATTATATTTATTGCCTCAATTGCAATGTTGATTTCAACTGGTTCTCAAATTGCKGCTCCCTACTTTTTTGGAATGGTMATCACTGCWTCAATGGAGAATGGGATGGGTAAGCTATGGGTGTACATAGTTTTTAGAAAAATGATCTAGTAGAGAGAAGTTGCATTTATTGTCATTAAATTGCACTGTTGTGAGCACAAGCTGCTGTATGCTGTAATATCAGTCTTAACAACATGTACAAGGYATAAGGATCACTTAGTAATCTACAAATGATTTGTGAGGAATGATCTTTGTATTGTGAAACCCTACGACAGTGTAATTCTTAAAACTTTATCTTTAATTGAATAATGAAATGGATCTTTGCATGATTAATTCTCAAATACAAAAATTTGCTGTCTTTGATTTTGAACCAATTAAAATGTTTTTTTTTAGCACATCTGAATAGAACCATCCTTTACCTATTGGGGATTTATATTGGAGGCTCAATAGGATCAATGATAAGGGCCTGGCTGTACACATTAGCTGGTCAACGAYTGGTAGCTAGAATCAGAAAACAGGTAAAAGAGAGGTTTTTATACAAATCTATCTTGAGCTTAGTGTTTGTTAATTAAATATGTCTTCAAATAAAATTCATTTCATCARGCTTAGTATTGATCAACCCAGTCATTTTTCAACTGTGAATTTGCTAAAAATATATTTTATGTTTATATGTATGTCCTTCAGTAGTTGGAGAGAATAAATTGAAATGCGAATGTATAGCCTTCTACTGTAAAAGAAGCCAGAAAAAATCTGACTTTAAACTGGATTCGAACCCACGACCTTTGCGTTACCAGTGCAATGGCTATACATTCGCATTTCAATATATTGTATGTTTGTTATTATTAGCTCTTCAACGCTATWATGAGACAAGAAGTGGCATTTTTTGATACCAACAGGTGAGTAAATTTTTTTTAAATAAAGCAGTTATCAGTGACTGTGTGTTGCTTTTTCAATGGATTTTTATACTTTTTTAAGTAAAATAATTCTTCCAACAGAACTGGAGAGCTTAACAATCGCCTTTCGTCTGATACTCAAGTTATCCAAAATGCAATTACTGTAAGTAAACCATGATTTATAAAGGTAACAAAAAGTCTTGCTAAAAACTCTAGATAGAGCGGATTTCGTATGAGTGGGAAACGGACAGTACTGTACTGTGACTGTAATCGTACTGTAACCAAATTCTGGTGCCCCAGTGGTTCACCAAAATTGTGCAGGCCAGGTCCGGTAACTGTGCGGTAACCGTGCGGTAACGGTGTCCCACTCATACGAAATCCGCTCTATTGTGGCATTCAAAGCAATGTCTGTGTCCATCCAGTAGACTATAARTTTTAGAACACTAAGAATTTATTGGGGAGGGGGAGCTATTTATTGTAAATTTGGTATAAAAAGGAAAAGCTTGTCATCGATGATTCAAAGTGTGTATTTAAAATAGGTAAATATCTCCATGTTGCTAAGATACATTCTGCAAATTGTTGGATCSATCATCTTCATGTTCACATTGAGCGCAAAGCTTACTGGGGTGCTGGTGTCAGTGGTTCCTGTTATYGGCATTGGTGCTCAACAATATGGTAAATTTGTTTATTGGTTTTTYGTTATTCATTTACTGGTAGAGRTCTGATGATTTATCAGTTTGTGGAACTAGGCGTCATTTGACTCAAAGGCAAGATGCTTTTCTCTATCAGAGACTCATAGTCAGCAACATAAAGAACAAACTATAATTGCATCTTTGCTTTACTGCAACAAATGAAGTACATTTCCACAGACCTTTCAATTCACTTAACATCACGAAAAAATGGCATCATAGCTCATGTATTTGCTTCATGATTATTTTAGGGCGGTTTATTCAAGGAATCAGTAAAAGGTTTCAAGATGAAATTGCTAATGCAGCAACCATTTCAGAGGAGTCCGTCAGTAATATTCGTACAGTGAGATCTTTCTCACAAGAAAAAAAGTCCACGACACAGTTTGCTGAAGCCATTCATAAAAGCTACAAACTTGGAGCAAAGCTAGCTGCTGCATCAGGTAAGATAAAGACGAAGTAAAGTAAAGAAAAGTGCTTTAGAATCAGTCAGTAAATCTTTTACTGACTATTGTGTTTCAGGTATATTTAATGGGATTGTGATGTCCTTAGCACAGGTAAATTCACATTCACTTGCTGTCATTGAATTATCAAAACGTTTCAACATTTTTTGTTATAAAAACTGACACATTTTCTTCTGTTTGAATAGGCTGCTATAGTACTTGTTCTATGGTATGGTGGTAAACTTGTCAATCAAGGAGAGCTAAATGTTGGTATTCTCACAGGTAACCTTTCTGTTTAGGTCATTTTCTTTTCTGACAAGACTGGATAATAATAATAATAACTTTATGAACTCATCTTTTCTATAACAATACGATGAATTTACAATTTAAAACGGATGAAATATATCTAACAGCAGGAATTCCTTGCAATTCATAAATTCACATGTCGATTGACAATTTCTACATATAACGAATTCATTGTGTGCGGCCAGAGATGCAGAAATCTCAGCAATAGAAAGGATTTATTTCAAAAGTTCATACTTTGTGTTTCAGCTTTCATGTTGTATACACTTAATGTTGCAATGGCATTTGCGTTCCTGTCATCACTGTACGGAGACTTCATGAAGGTAAACAACCATACAGCTATGTATCAAACCAAGTGTACTTGATGTCTTGATTGTCTTGGCAGCGTTCAGCTGCTCGACATAGATGCTGTTTTTAAGGGTTTTTGGCTAGTATTTCTTTTGTTTCTAACCTCATTTTCTTGTAGGCTGTTGGTGCTTCACATCGTATGTTTGAAATAATGGATCGCGTCCCAGACATGGATAGTGGGGATCTGCAATTAGATACCATAAACAAAGGTAAAGCTAAGCACTACGAAGAATGGCGCCGATTTTTCGGATGCAAAATATATACTTCGTGTTTTCTGATTCTCGGTTGTGCGCCAGTTCAGTAACCTAGGCAAGAAATATTGAATATTGAATATTGAGAATTTTATATCATATAGACAAACAACTACGACAACATACCTTATTAACAGTGCTCAGATGGTCATAGATGGTTCTTCTCCACTCACGTTTATTGTTCATTCAGTTGTTGAGATGATTTTAATTTGTGTTCTTCACAGAAATAGTTTTTAATGACGTCTGTTTCCATTATCCAACAAGAACTGAGACAGAGGTTCTTAAGGTTCGTAATGGGTTTAGATATGTTTGTGAGAAATAGCATTACAAAATGCGTTAAAGAATAGGCCGGTACAAGCTAAAGATGCCCACAAGGCTTTGAAGTTCTGTAGATGGGTGTCTTCAATGCAGCATTGCACAGGGCGTGGGTTTGTTATTTTATAGGGTCTTGACACTAACAGTACTATTCAATGAAGCCGTGCAATGTGTGCCAGATTTGGAGGGGACAATTTTCTGCTTAATACTGTTAATAAACCCGGAAAATACTGCTCAAAACTCCCTGCCAGTGTAGACCTCCGCCATGGAGGCAGGACAATGAAATACCGCTTTTGTGTTGCAATTTCTCATATGCTAACTATTTGACGTAGAATAGTGTGGAAAATTGACGTTTAAATCAGTTTAAACTATTTTTCATAACTTCATGTACTTTCTTATTCGTCCGGTTTTTCAGAGCCTTAGTTTCAAGATCGCGCCAGGTGAAACTGTCGCCCTTGTCGGTCCATCAGGCGGTGGAAAGTCAACTGTTATCAGCCTATTGGAACGTTTTTATGATCCAGTACGTGGTGTCATAAAAATTGGAAATGTTGGTATCCCAACACTTGATGTCACATGGTACAGACGAAAGCTTGCTCTAGTCAGCCAGGAACCTGTTCTGTTTGCAACAACTATTGCTGAAAATATCGCATATGGAAGAGAGGCCACGCAAGAAGAGGTAGAAAAGAGTACCACGATTATAACGAAAAAAAAAACAATTAGCGTACACACTTTACAGTAGTACATTATTTTATACACTTTTAGTAAAGTTTTACTAAGGTTTATGATAACCCTAACCAGACGCACATTTTCAGTGCTCTAACATGAATATGTGAAAAATGAGGATGTCATCATCAACAATTATTACGCGTTTTTGTTATATTCGTATATTTTATTCAAATATTTTTTTTAAATTTAAGATAGAAGATGTTGCTCGCCAAGCCAACGCACATGACTTCATATCATCATTTGAGGTGAGAGAACTTAATTACTAAATATTGATGCATAGATTTTACCCAATGCTATCCTAATCGATCTGTCAATCAGACCATTGATCAATCAACCAATCATCTAATCAGTTTAACAAATGATAACTTTTTGTTTTCGTAATACGGCCTTCTCTTCTGAGTCAAAAACTATTTTCTTGCAGAGCGGTTACCAGACCGAGGTGGGTGAACGAGGTGTCAAACTTTCAGGTGGTCAAAAACAACGTGTTGCTATAGCAAGAGCTTTGCTGATGAATCCACAAGTACTTCTACTAGATGAGGTAAGTCGCGTACACTGATTTACACAGAACTACAATTTCCCTTGCAATCGTTCAGATCCTTTCTGAAATACAATAATATAAAACATTGTGGTCTAGATTCAGCTCAAGCATTTTTTTATGCAGTCAATTATGGTTGTTTGTATAGAAGCTAGACCTTTCTGAAATACAATTCAACATGGTGCATTGTGGGTCTATGGCATGTGACGCCAAAGCAGCTCATCTTGAGAAGGGGGGGAGGTGTTGTAGAATAGTTATGTAAAAAGGTAAATTTAGAATACATGGTTTTGTCCACGAGATGCGGCTGCAATGACTTACTAGAACGCAGTAAACAAAAATATGTCAAAATTGTCTGCTGTAAAAAGTGGAAATTAGATTAGATAGATTATACGACCTGCTAGGGACTACTGAAGCGGGTGCCAGCGTTCCTTTCGAATGAAGGGATGTTTTATCTGATGCGTTTAAAGCGTAAACTCTGCTTTTAAGTTTTGCTCATAGCGCAATGCAATGGAATAAGAAATAGTGATTATTCTCAATATTTCACAATTTTTTCGATAATAATTGTTTGCTTTTCATCTGTTTTCAATCGACAGGCTACGAGTGCTCTCGATGCAGAGAGTGAGTATTTTGTCCAGGAAGCCATTGACCGGGCAATGGTAAACAGGACAGTGCTGGTCATAGCACATCGACTCTCCACAGTCCGAAATGCTGATATGGTAAGCTATTGTTCTTTATTAATTGATTATAGCTTAAATCAAAGTACCCTTTTAGATGTATGCATATTCGCGTTTGCGAGAAAAAACACCAATCGGATTCGATTTATCGCTTTTGGCAGTGGTTTTTGCTACTGTAGTGCCGTTTCCCGCACTGATGCGTTTTCGTTGCGTTTTGCATTTCCATCCTTAGGGAATGAAAAACACTGGCGCAAAAATGTATAGACGCTTAACCCAATCGCTTCTCTCGCTTTCAATGCGGCGCGCAATCAAGGAAAGGGCGAATAAAAGACAAATGGGTAGGAGGCTGAACACTTTACGTTATTGTAGGTTCTTGTCATGGACAAAGGCAAAATCGTAGAACGAGGCAGCCATGATGATCTCATTGCTCTTAATGGTGTCTACAAGAAGCTGGTACTTCGTCAACTCACCGGTAACGAAGCGGTAGTGCCCGACGACGAAGGAATACCCGCTCCAAAGGATGTGACCATGGACTAGATAGCTGTAGTTTGACTTTTCTCTAGTCAGAGTCACAATCCGTAAAATAGGTGTTTTTGTCCTCATCCTCACTACTTTAATTAACTTGGTGATTGTAGACTTTTTATAACCCTTCAGACTATAAACGTCTGCTTTTATTTAAATATTTCATTTATCCGAAAGTAATGTTTACAAAGCGATAAGAAACTGATTTTATAAGAGTCAGTTTCAAAAACCAGCACTATTTCTCAACTCGGACTGAATTACTAATTTTGCTACGCCATTGCTCATATCTTGAAGCAGTATGTTTTCTACCAAATTTTGAAACGGTTGTTCCGCAAAAAGTGTTAAATTCTCGTGAGGCAAGCTTCACTTTGTTCACCTCCATTGACTACATTTTCTTTCCTTGTCTCTTGAAGTGTAAACAAGGACCAATTCTGACTCGGACTATTACTGTAGTTTGATGTTAGAGAGATAAGCATGCTAGAGAGATAAATAGAGGATATTATACATGGGCGCGCGGAGATACGGATTTTATCTTCGAGTGTTGAAAAGATCTCTCACGAGTGAGCGTAGCGAACTCGTGAGAGATTTTCAACACGAGAAGATAAAATTCGTATCTCAAAGCGACCATGTAATATTCTGTTTATCATATAATTAAATATGAAAGCAAATTATGTCGGAAAATATCTATTTTCTGACTTCCACTATATAGAGAAACCTCGAACGTGTTATTTTCACTAGTGAAAATAACATGTTATTTTCACTAGTGAAAATAACATGTTATTTTCACTAGTGAAAATATCAATTTTACGTAATGGAGAAATATAGGTATTTCATAGATAACTATATGATAAACCTTGATATGTTAACGTAATAATAAATTCTTCGACTAGTCTATTTAACTCCGTTGTTCCACGAGTTCAGTGCCTTCAATCTAACTATCAGACTGTTAATTTAGAAGGCGCTGGCTTTTTTTACATTTTTTTTTATTTTTCTTTTACTCTAAATATTCATAGAATTTATAAAGTAATTACTAGGTTCAAATATAGAATACTAGTTATAAATAAAGAAAAATAGACGACTATGTTCTGATCTTCTGCTATCTCACCTTCAAATAGAAATAACTAAATGGATGTCTGCCTAAACTACCTTATTCTTACTAATTTTCGCCGGCACTTCTGGAGAAGTCGTATAATAGGCATATTTAGCGGTTATTCGTTTTCGCGTTTTGCCAGATAATTGCCTTAACTATACGGCCATGCTATGCGTAAACTTTGTTTTTGCGTATCTTTAATTCCGTTCTTTTTACTCCGACCAAGGATTAACGTCCGAAACGTAAGTAAGTTGTTTCACCTCCTTTTTTATGGTGTTAAATTTATCTTTTTACACAACTGAGAACTGATCATATGGTCTTCTAGTCGGATCTTGCTGATAATGTCTATTGTATATTGTAATGTCTAATGTATATTCGTTCACTCCGCTCACTCGTGAGAGATACCATCAAGATAAATACGTTAATCACCCATGTAATATCCGCCAGCTTGACCGATGACTCTGCAAGAGAACATATAATAAGCAATTTTCTCCCATGAACAACTAATTAAATAAACCCCTTGATTTCTTTCACGAACTCTTTCACTTCAGTTCATTTTTTTTCATGACAAGTCAGTATTTTTGCTTTTGATATTCAACTGAAGATATCTTTTTATCATTACAAATGGAAGGTATCAGGATAAAAAAATGAAAAAAGTGAAAATTTGAATTGCTTCCAAYTAATGAATAATTGATGATCCTTAATCACATTTGTGCAAATTTCTAACCTGTCATTTAATTGAAAGATAATAGCAAGTTGGCTGAGCAGAATTAACCGCCTGCCATGTAAAAGAGAGATTTATATCTCAGCTTGGCGGCAGTTGTTGAAATGTAATTTCAATTTTTCGCTATCAAGCAACACAATACAACAAGTGCCAAGTGAGCCAAGTGGATACTCCATCTTCATGGAAAGCAATACCAGCTCGAACGAAAGCTTTTCCATTTTAACAGATGCAAGTAAGGTGTCATGGATCTTGGCATTTTCTCTTCAATTTCTCTCGGCAATAATAGGAAACCTGCTTATCTTRTGGATAGTCTACAAGGACAAACGATTGAAAACAACCACTAACTACATAATTGCCAACATTGCTGTCAGTGACATTCTCGCATCCATTGTTGAGTTTCCGAAGAAGATAATTTCAATAGCTGTTGACGAAGAATGGATAATTGCTGGTGACTTTGGTAATTTGTTGTGCAAAATATCTACATTCATAGAGGAAATGTGTTGGGATGTTTCTTCTTATAGCCTTTTGTTGATAGCCATTGACCGCTACTTTGCCGTGGCTCATCCAATGAAAAAACCTTTCCAAAATAGTAAATACATTATTGCAGGAGTTTGGATTTTGACGAGTATGCGTTTCTTGCCAGTTTTTTACTTCTTTGGTATTGCTGACGATATTGAACAGAGGTTATGCACTGTTTCTACAAACCTTTCTTCTTATTTTGTCTATTTGATAACGAATATTGTCATAAGTAGTGTTGTTGTAGGCTTTGGAGGTATCATGGCGTATACATTGATAGTCTATAGACTCTATCATCACAAAGTACCAGGAGTTCAAACCGATAGGAAAACAAGAAGACAAGAACAACAAAACAAGAAGGTTCTCAAGATGTCTGTCAGTATTGTCGCCTTGGGATTTTTTTTCAATTATTCGTGGATTGTCTTGTATGTGTTGAAACTTCAAGGAAAACTTKACCATCTTTCTCCATCGACGCTCAAAAATGTTTCGAATGCTTCAAATTTTATAGCATACATGTTTTATGTCTACAACTTCTACCTGTATCTCATCTTCAATGACATTTATCGTGAGAACGTTAAAAATATTGTAACGAGGTGTTCTTGCTCTTTTAATGTTAAAGCCAACAACACTACCAAAACAAGGAGTCTTGGAGAAAACCAGGTCTACACAGAATGCTGAAGGATTACTGTTAATAGGTTTTATTAGAAGTCATGAGAACGATATATATAGAAAACCATATATTTAGCTCTACAAATCGTCTCAAGCCAGGTAAATGGTTGTTTATCTTTCAGATTGATGGCCTTGCTGATATTTTTTCAAGGCTACAATGTAATTGCAGTGAATGATTTTAACTATTGCATTTAATATAGCCACGGTAATTAAATGTTCACTGTACAAGTAGGGATGTTGTTAAACTTTAAAACGTGACGAAAACTTGACGCAAGATATCACACTTTTCACATGTATGTGAAGATATGGCTTTTTATTGCCAATCTTCGATTTCTTTAAGTTTTTTTGGCATTTTACTGACCGATATGATGAACAGAACATTAAATGGTTTAGTCGGATAATGATTTTATTTATTACATAAGCTTCAATAAAATGTGAAAAAGTGATATCTTTCRGCATAACATAATAACACGTTACCATGGATATGCCGTACAAAATTGTCCTATTTCTGTGCCTTATAGATAGAAATTTGAGTTTTTATAATAAACAGAACATTACATTGGCGTTGCTAACTCGTGAAATATCAATGGAACACTTGAAGATAAAAATCCGTATCTCCGCGCGCTCATGTGATTTCCTCTATATTCGCTTGCTGATAATGTCTAATATTCGTTCAATTCGCTCACTCGTGAGAGATACCATCAAGATAAATACGTTAATCACCCATGTAATATCCTCTATATCCGCCAGCTTGATCGATGACTCTGTAAGAGAACATATATCTGATATATTAAACAATTTCCTCACATGAACACAATAAAACCCTTGATTTCTTCACGACTTCAGTCGAGTTTTTTATTCCACGACCAGTATTATGGCTTTTGATATTCAACTGAGGATATCTTTTTATCGTTACAAATGGATAAAATAATGTCGCATGGTTCAGGATAAAACAATTTTGCACAAGTTTTGGCAGGGTGAAAAAGAACAAAACACAATCATAAGAGACGAAGAATTGTCCATTTTGAGCTGTAAATGATTTTTGAAGCATGACTGTGAACATTAATTTGCATTGCTCCCAAGTGAATAATTGATGGCTGGCTTTTAATTGCATTTTATAAATTTTTAAAATGGCATTTAACTGAGTGATAATCGCGAGTTGGCTAAACAGAACCACCTGYAAGGTTTCAAATGTAATTTTAATTTTTCACTGTCAACCAACACAATCATACAACAAGTAGATTACAAGACATCTTCATGGAMCACTGGAAAAATCAAACGACTTCCATAGTATGTAAATAATTTGGAAATTGTTTGGAAATTAATTGTAAATTTTTCATTTCCAAACTAATGGGACATTTACAAACTAATTTTTAATTTCTATATTTCCTGTTTGTAAGTTGTTTGGAAATAATTGCGATGTTTGGAAACTATATGTAAATTTCATTGATCTTGTTTGGAAATTATTTGGAAATTATCTCAATTTTATTTGGAAATTATTTGTAAATTTCATTGAGATTTACCATACTATTTTGCATTCTCAGCAAATTTGCTACCAACATAAGATTTACATAAAGAAAGAGCATTTGTACTTCACATTTACATGGTTTATTTGGAGCATGGCATTTGAATATCCAATGAAAATATTTAATGTTTAAAACTAATACATTAAATAATATTATTTCCAGTTGCCACGTGTCTTGAAGTAAATTCAGTTTCTACACATGTTGAACATTCTCTAATCTCAATAAAGAATTTTTTAAATGCCTTGTCATTTCTCCACTAAACCACACTTGACATTCTAGACCATTAAAAAACGTGACAACTTGAAAAAAAGTGAGTATTTTTATAAGTTCACATGATAATTGGAACATTGTAAATGTCTTATTAGGTGGACAACCTTTTAAAGCTGGCTTTATATAGTCGATTGACAAAAGGTTGTCGTCGACCGGGTTTCACGAAACACGACTAGCCCGAACTGGTTTCTTGGAAAAATCAATGACTTGGCAAATTAGAGATTTGAACGCCTTTGTGATTGGAAGAACTGACAAATGTTTGACAAAAGTTTCCAAATCACGGGAATTAAATTGTGCATGCGATGTTGATTTTTGCATCTCATATTGTTTTCCATCATRGCGTGGAATGCAACGTTCAATGTTTGTCTTCAGTTCATTGGCGCATTTTTACCCAGAAACCTCTTCGGGTGGGTCGCGTGCTACGACGTCCGGTCGACGACAAATGCATCAACTATATATTTCATTAGTATAAACATACTAACAACAACTATATATTTCATTAGTATAAACATACTAATGGTCTATCACTCATACTGCGCTGTGATTGGCTACTCTACTAATGCGGTCTAATTTGTGATAGACCACTCACGGGGAAATCAAAATGGCGGCATCTCATTAATAGTAATGAGCCTCATGGGCTATTAGCTCGTAGTCCACTCGACCTCGAGGTCTAATTGTTAAGTAGAAGCTGTCCAATCTCCAGAGAGCTTTTCGAATGAATTATCAAGTAAATGACAAGTCTGACAAGCCAATATGCTTATTATATCTTGCTATTTGTTGGCTATCCCAATAACTGAATGAAAAATGGGTTCGGGGAGGTCCATTAGCAAAACATCCGATCAACCTTATTGGATACTCAAAACTCTGAAAAGTTGTCCCAAGAAATTTAGTGTCACAGGTGGCATATCGACCTAAATTAAAAAACGTATAAATGACAAACCATTAAATTCATTTTTCCTACTTTTTAACTGAAGAAATAAATCCGATCTAAGTTTTTTTCGTAATTTTTCAGAGTACAATTTTAAACCTAATAAATGGAGTAAAATGAAGATTAAAAGTTACAATCATATTGAATAATTGATGACTAATTTTAATGAAATTTTTCGAATTCCGATTGGTTGTACAAAACGTCTCACGCTATGTTGTAATGGGCTGTTTACTCTCCCAGCTTGATGGCATTTCAAGATGAAACATGATGAACAACTGGTTTTTTTTGGATTTTCAAATCAGTAAGTGCACGCGAAAGAAAGTCATCTCCATGGAAAGCAATATTACTTCGAACAAGAGCTTTTCCATTTTAACAGATACCAGTAAGGTGTTATGGATCGTAGCATTTTCCCTTCAATTTCTTTCAGCATTAATAGGAAACTTGCTCATCTTAAGGATAGTCTACAAGGACAAACGATTGAAAACTACTACCAACTACATAGTTGCCAACATGGCTGTCAGCGATGTTCTTTCTTCAATTTCTCTATTTCCGAAAATTATTATTTCTGTAGCGTTCGGTAAAGARTGGATGATCTCTGGTGACTCTGGTAATCTGTTGTGCAAAATTTCCRCATTTTTAGAAAATGTGTCTTGGACAGTCTCTTTGTACAGCTTTCTTTTGATAGCCTTTGATCGCTACTTTGCCGTGTCTCATCCACTGAAGAAACCTTACCAAAATAGAATAAAATACATCAACATTGGTGTGTGGATTTGGTCTGTTGTACTGAAAGCACCAAATCTGTACTTCTTTGGTATTCTTGACGATGGCAAACAGTGGTTATGTACTGTTTCCCCTAAACCTTATTCTTTTGTCCATAGTATAGTGACCAGTGCTTTYACTGGTGCTGTTGTAGGCATTGGTGCTATAATTGCTTATGCATTGACAGTTTATAAACTTTACACACGCAGAGTACCAGGCGTTCAGAACGACAGGACAAGAACAAGACGAGAGCAGCAAAACAAGAAGGCTTTGAAGATGTCAGCTAGCATTGTCACCTTGGGTTAYTTAACTTGTGGCTGGTGGTTTGTCTTCGTTGTATTGAAATATCTGGGAAAACTTGACCATCTTTCACCATCAATGTTYAAAAACGTTTCCAATGGCTCTTATTTCATAACATACATGTTTTTCGTTTACAATTTCTACCTGTATCTCATCTTCAATGACATTTACCGGAAGAACATCAAAATTATGTTAACAAAGTGCTCATGTACTTTTTATGCTGTTGATGGCAGCAGCACATCCAATACAGGGGTTCCTACCGATACAGGCAGGATTCCTGCAGAAAATCAGGTCACCACATAATGTTGAGATTAAAACAATCTGTGAAGTATGCGGTCCTAGAATACAAGTTTGCAAAGTTTTTACAATTTATTTGTCCTTGTCAATATCATGGAGTGCGTATTTGAGGATCATCAGACATTCTCATAAAGCGTTCTTCAGCTCAATTGTGACTTTTCAAGGTGGTTCAATGTACTCTTGATAAATAAAGATCCCTAATTCTCTAAAGAATTTTGATATTGTGTTTTCAATGAACATTGAAGAACAACTACACTCAGTAGACAATGGAGGCAGCTGCAKGGACAGCAGTGTCTCTTCGAATCTGAATTACACAATGACTAGCATGGATGACAGTGATGGTGTTTCATCCATTTTTGGTTTTTCGTGAGGATAATTTCTATAAGCCTAGGAAATGAATGCTTCCTAGTGATTTTGGTGACTATTTGTACAAAATGTCTACATTCATGCATTGCAAGTAGCATCTCGAATAGGTGGCAAACATTACCAGAGCCAAAACGTTGATTGACCGTGATGGGCTACTTTGGAAGGTGTGTTCTACGCATGTCTAATGATCGCCTGTCCAAGCAAAAGCTAAAAGGAATATTTCAAAGGCAATCTTATTAATGAGATATTGTTGTCGTAGTGTCAGAACCTATAAGGAACAGATCGTTCCATATGGAAACACCGCCACCGAAAGTTACAAAGCATCCAGCTGTCCATAATGCTGCTGCATGTGTAAATCGATGATTATTTGGCCTCATTAGTCGCCTGAAGTGGCTCCACATGACCCCCCGCCGTTGAATTATTACCAGGATCTCGCCGGCATAACATAGTAATTAGTTTTTGGGTCAAGCAGCAGTCTGTCTTTTTTTCTCGGTCTCAAGCATTTTTACACTGAGCTTTGTTGAAAAACATGTTTTTTATAGATTAATGGGCGCGTTTACGAGGCTCAAATCCTTATGAGTAGAGAAATGTCAGTAAGGTGTCATTATCCTTTTGATTTCTCTCTGTAACAATAGGAAACCTGCTCATCTTATGAATAGTCTAAAAGGACAATCGATTGAAAACTACCACCAATTACAATCAGTGAAAATCTTGCATACCTTATTTTAACAAGACGCTTGTCAGCGTGTACTCGGGGTTCCTTTTAGTGTGGTCTCTTGGTTTAATGATACATATAGAATATTGGCAACGTCTTTCATTTAATAATAACTACAATTATATTTTTTGGTGGCGCCACATTTTGTTGTGAGATTGTCATCAATGTAGCTAAAAATTTCTTTCCCAGGAAAAAAAATCATTACAAGAACAGTTATTTAGAAGAACAGACCCCGTCGGCTCCTTCTGAATTATACTCATGTAGTTTCATTTATTCTTGCCGTGACCAAAAAATATAATAAATTCTCAGTCCAGTTGATAGCATAATAATTAAGACTTAAGCTTATATAATTTTGACTTGATAAATTTACCGCAATTATTGCAAAGAATAATAAAAACTATAATCATCAAATATAAAGAAAAAATTAAAAATTCTTCCTTGGATTGAAAATAGTAAAGAAAAGCAATGTRTTAACATTATTATTGTTGACCAAGAGTTGTCCTTACTTTTGACAGACATTTGGTCCCGGATTTGGTCTAACGCAAACACCATTCGCTGATCCTTTGTTTGTAATCCTTCGTTATTTCAACTGTACATTTTTGTTGACAATCGGCACTTGAGTCTATTGTTCTTTTATAGTAGTTAAAGGCCTGTAGTTCATGATTGGCTTTGGATAGATTAAAGGGACACTGTCAATGGCACGCATGCGCGAGTAAAACTTGAAAACATTAGGCGGTTCCACAGGAACCCCGAGTAATAATATTTATAAATGTTTTAATTATTTTGCTAATTAGAATTAGCAAAGACGTGATGATATCTGGTTGTATGAATTCAGCTCAAATTTTTCCGGAAATATGTCTTGGGCAGGTGTTTTTTGATATCATTGTTGACCACTAGACTTTGGCAGCGCTCAACAGCGGTTGAAAGTCATCCTTTTCGTTGTAAATGACTTACACATTACTCAATGTTCAATAGTGAATGATAAAAAAACTTCTGACAGGGAGCCAAGAAGATCTCCACATTAATATCATGATAGTTAACTGAAGTGGCTTCTTCAAAAAAAAATGAATAAATAAAATAAATAAAGTAATAAAAAAGATGAAAAAAATATCAGAAGTTGTCATGTTCTAATAATATGATAACAAATGAAAAACAATGAAAAAGAGAAGCAGGAATTCCGATTATGAACAATTGTATATAAAAAAAGATAAAAATTAAATTCTACAGACGATCGATACGGCCGTATAGGAGGCAGACGTTCCCAGAAAAGGACAGAGKTGCACTCCCTTCCCCAGTTTCAGTCAAGACAATAATAAGTATACTAATAGAAACGAAAGAAATGCTTTAGCACACTTCATCTATAATGTTTTTCAAATATGTTAGGTTTCAGACAAACACATGAATAATTAGCGGTCAATGGCTACCAAAAGAAGACTTAAGAAAGAAACTTACCAAGAACGGCATCTTCTATGAATGAGGGCACTTTTTGACTATTCTGCTGGGTGTGAACACACCTTAATCATAGATTAATTCCAAGTTACCGTCAAACTGAATCAAATGAATGGCTTGCTATGAGTCCAAATTATACGAAAATCATCGGGGTATGGCATGTAGATCAAATCTTCTGAGTTAGGTTGAGATGTCCATTCAAGATTAAAACYTTTCGGCTGTTTACAATCATGGCCACAAGTGAAAAATGAGGCATAACCAGAACTAGATTAACATCGAGCCTGTATACATAGTACTTGATGTTGAGTTGAAATTTGCATTGCAGTTAGACTATCAAATGATAAATGATTTACGACATTAAAAAATTATTAGTCGACGTTTTTTGCCATGTAAGTCATACTAAAAAGGCCCCAACATGTTTAACAACACTTCAAACCTGACTTTTTCCATCTTCACGGATGCTCATAAGGCTTCATGGATCKTGGCATWTTCTCTTCAATTTCTCTCRGCAATAATAGGAAACCTGCTYATCTTATGGATAGTMTRCAAGGACAATCGWTTGAAAACWACCACTAACTACATAGTGGCTAACATGGCTATCAGYGATGTTCTCGCAWCAATTTCTCTATTTCCGAAGACAATAATTTCCAAAGCYCTCGGAGAAGAATGGAAGWTTGCTGGTGACTTTGGTAATGTGTTGTGCAAAGTGTCCTCATTCATAGAAGATGTTTCTTGGTACGTTTCTCTCTATAGTCTTCTTTTGRTAGCCATTGACCGCTACTTTGCCGTGGCTTATCCAATGAAAAAACCTTACCAAAGAAGAATAAAATACATTATTGCAGGGGTTTGGATTTTGTCGAGTGCACTTGGATTGCCAAACTTTTACTTCATTGGTATAGTTGGAGATGGTAAGCAAAGGTTATGTCAATATATCTCAAAACCTGAATTTATTAGTAAACTTCCGAGTATCCTTACTGGTGCTATAGTAGGAATCGGTGCTGTCATTGCTTATGCTTTGACAGTTTATAAACTCTATCATCACAAAGTACCAGGAGCTCAGAACGACAGRACGAGAAGAAGACGGGAGCAACAAAACAAGAAGATTTTRAAGATGTCTGTTAGCATTGTCGCTTTGGGTTTTTTAACACAGGGCTTTTGGTTGGTCTTCTATGTCTTGAAATCTCAAAGGAAACTCAAACATCTTTCACCAACGACGCTCAAAAACCTTTCCAATGTCTCTTATTTCATAACATACATGTTTTTTGTGTACAATTTCTACCTTTATCTCATCTTCAATGCCATTTACCGCGAGAATATCAAAATAATGATAACGAGGTGCTCTTTTCAATTTCATGCTGACAATACAACAATGGCAACTAACACAAGGATACATACTGAAAATCAGGTCGACACAAGATTATGAAATTACAAAAATCAGGTGTGTTAGCTGTCCATAAATAACACTGCATTTTTATGATATGATCAATTTGTGTTGTGAAAACAACGNTTTATGGGCCAATAACCACAAGTTCATATTTCGGTGATTTCGGTAGAGTGCCGAAGACCTTTTTTGAACGAAATTGAAATCATGGTGCATTCTGGTCTAGCTTCAGTACAACAAACAAGAAAACAAAATGCTTCAAGTAGCGAATTTAGACCACAATGCAATGCGCTTTGGTTTTTCAGAAAAGCCCTATTATGCCTATGTAGCACATAGCGCCTCCACCAAGACTTTCCCCTTTTTCCTGTCTTACTTGGCTTTCCTTTCAATTTCTCGCCAGGTCTTTTGTATGGCTTTTAGTCCTTTTTCCGTCATCAGTTGACCACTTCAAGTTGCCTTGTGTTGCCTTTTGGATCTTTTTTGACCTAACCATTTCCAATTGTTAATAATAAACGTCAAATTTRCATCGCATTTAGCCTATCGCGAAATTGATAAATACTTAATGGCTTCAAATCGTTAGGTAATCCTGCAAGTAAGTCTCCCCCGACATGCCTTGCAAGCCGATTTAGTCCACAGTCTACTAGAACGCCGCATAAAATTTACTGTCAGGCAACAATTCGCCTGTAGTGCGCGGAGTCAAGTTATCGTAAACACAAAAGATCGATGATTATTTGGCCTCATTAGTCGCCTGAAGTGGCCCCACATGACCCCCCGCCGTTGAATTATTACCAGGATCTCGCCGGCATARCATAGTAATGAGTTTTTGGCTCGAATCCTTATGAGCAATGAGCAGAGAAATGTCAGTAAGGTGTCATTATCCTTTTGATTTCTCTCTGTAACAATAGGAAACCAGCTCATCTTATGGATAGTCTAAAAGGACAATCGATTAAAAACTAGTATAAAAACGTACCGGCGATTACAATCAGTGAAAATCTTGCATACCTTGTTTTAATAATATTTATAAATATTTTAATTATTTTGCTAATTAAAATTAGCAAAGACGTGATGATATCTGGTTGTATGAATTCAGCTCAAATTTTTCCGGAAATATGTCTTGGGCAGGTTCTCTGAACAGCTGTCATTGACCACTAGACTTTGCCAGCGCTCAACAGCGGTTGAAAGTCATCCTTTTCGTTGTAAATGACTTACACATTACTCAATATTCAATAGTGAATGATAAAAAAACTTCTGACAGGGAGCCAAGAAGATCTCCACAACAATATYATGATAGTTAACTGAAGTGTCTTCTTCAAATAATAATAGAAATAATAAAATAAAAAAATAATAAGAATAAGAATAATGATTGATGATGATAAATCCTACAGACGATCGATACGACCGTATTGGAGGCAGATGTTCCCAGAAAAGGACAGAGACAAATTTAGCACTTCTTTAAAGCAATAACAAGTATACTATAAGAAAGAAAGTGCACATTTAATTTATAATTTTTTCAAATATGTTAGGTTTCAGACAAATAAATACATGAATAATTAGAGGTCAGCAATGGCTACCAAAAGAAGACTTTAGAGAGAAACGTACCAAGAAACATCTTCTATGRATGAGGACACTTTGCACAACAGTCAACAGCAATTTTCCATTCTTATCCGAGGGCTTTGGAAATTATTGTATTTAGAAAATAGAGAAATTAATTGATGCGATATACATAGAACCTCAAAGGCCACCCTTCCAATCAGTCAATCAGTTGAATTGAGCAAATTATCAATGTGATTGTCCAAAGTAGAAACGTTCGTTCTCTGTCTACTTTCAATATCTATGTTCCAACACCTATCGAGAAGTCTGAAAATTGCTTGAGAGTAAATAATGTTTAAAGTGGATGATTGCATATATATTTGTTATTAACTCCATTATGATCTTGATTTAAGTGTTTGATGATTGTGGCGCGTGTTATACCCCGGTCTGGAACATATACAGTATGGGATGATTTATTTATATAGGACTTATATCTCGGCAAGTCTCATATAAAACCATTAACCATCGTTTTCTTTTTTGYTTTGAAATTTGAASAATATAGGAGAAAACCGTTACATAACAGATGAAATTATTCGTAGCCATAATAAGCGGAACTGAAAGATAATAATTTGCATGTAAGAGGCTTCTGACCATTGGCTAATTCACAAAACATGTTTAAAATACGCGTTTGTTTAAAATCAAAGAACATCTAGAGTAAAGTTTTCAACCTGAAAATTATCCATCACTCCTTCCAGAATTCTTTTCGGTTCACATCAGAGTTAAAAAAAGCGAGGTTTATTATTTGAAATGAGGATTCTTCTGCTGTCGGTGTTTGTGATTGGTTTGTTATCAACGGAGTACGGACGAGCTGCGAAACAAACTGGCAACCAGTATTATTTTTGCAATTGCGGCAAGAACTCGAAGCTTTTGATTTCATTGATGAGAAAACTGCTAAGCAAATGTTCGGGGAAGAAAATTCCAGAAATTGGATCATGCCCAAAAGGTAGGCTTGATTTTCCACTGGACTTACATTAGTTATTTATCTCTCATGTCAATAAGTATCTTAYGTTATGTATCAATTCAGTTTGATTTTGTACTGACATATGGATATCGTAAAAGGTTTTATTATTGAATGCACAAGTAGTTTTTGTCTCTCTTTAAAATGACTTCAAAATGTATGTATGACTTGAAATTTCTGTCTTAAAACTAAAAGAAAGTGCTGACACAAATTTGTGCTATTTTGATTTTCCGTAATTTCAAGAATTTAGCGGCAGCGTTATCATTGTTCGATGTACACTGAACCAAATCATAAAGCTACAATTTTTGAATATTTTAGTTCTTTTTTGTAAATCATTTGTGAGCTTATATGGTTGTAAACATATTGTATTTGGTTGATAGCGCCTAAAAACTGCCAAGAMGTTTTCACGAAATGTGGTGGCAAAAAGAGCGGCGTGTACAAAGTCAATCCCGATGGTAAAGGAGAATTCAAGGTACTATCTAGTATTCAAAAATCATCGCAAATGACGATAATACCACTGATAATGATGATCAATGTATACTGATAAAACAAGCATAACGTCCTGATCATCGCTGGCATATCTTATGGGGGGGGAGGGCAAGTTGACGGGAATGATTGGTAATTTCCTTATCTTGTGTTATAGCCAATCTGAGTTACCTGAGTTACGGCTTTTGCTGTCGCTAATTTTTGCACCTTTTTGTGCCATGCATCGTTCGCTATTTGTTCTACCTAAGAAATATAGCTCTACGCAATAATTAATATTGTAAAATGATGCATTTTTCAGGTCTACTGTGACCAGAAGACTGCAGGGCCTCCCCCTGGGAGGGTAGTATTCCAGAGAAGAAAAGATGGTTCGGTTGACTTTTACCGAGGATGGAATGACTATAAGAGTGGTTTTGGAGATCTTAAAGGCGAATTCTGGCTTGGCCTCGACAAGATTCATAGATTGACGCATCAAACACGAAACCGTCTTCGTGTTGAGGTTGAAGACACTAAAGGAAAGAGCGCGTATGCCGAGTACGACTACTTTGATGTGACCAGTGAACGAAGCAAATACAAGTTAAGTCTTGGAACTTACTCAGGTAAATCACATTTGTGCAAAATAATTTCTTTTTACCAAAGGAAAATTTCATCCGCTGCATATGGCGTTCACAGTACGTTCACCATCCGGAAAATCTGACATATAAGAGAACGCACGAAATTCTCTTGTAAGTGGATGACCCACAAATATTTTCAAAAGCTGTAAATAAGATTTGTAAGAGGGCTTTAAATGATAGCACAAAAACAAACAAGCCAAAAAAAGATAAAAGAAAAAATAAGAAAATAATAGTAGATTGCCGCTAGATA